TCGAGAATTTTGAGCTATCGTCATACTAAATTTCAACCCTGTCGGGTTAGTATTTTTCGCGTTTACTTGTCACAAACATCCAAACTTTCTGACTTATAACATTAGAAGAAGGAAGAAGTATACCTCAAATTTTAGTGTCAATACATGAAAAAATAAAACAAACAAGCTAAAGGAGCCTCAATTAACAAGAACCTCGATAACAAGTAGTGGCATTTTTTAATATCCTAATTTTATATTACCCTTAGTTAAATTGTGTGTATACCTCAATAAGATAACAGCATTGATTTCAAATATTGTTTGATATTTTAATATTTATATTTTATATTATCGAGGTTCTACAGTGCTTACATCATAATTCAGGGGGGCATTTATCAAGTTTTAAGTGTTGCTTGAATACATATTTGAACACAGACATAATCTATTCTTCTATTCTATATATAATAGACTGGGACGGGTGGCGTCGTCCTGTAATCCAGCTACTAGGAGGTCACGAATTGTGGATATTTATAGGGATGCACTGTGGATGCGATGCTCCCTGGTGTGGATTAACGTCCGCACTAGTGAGTACTACGACTATCCGCAGTACTATCCTGATAATTAGACCAATTCGTAAATTACAAGGAAAAAATGTGGTTCGGATTCCACTATAAACTGTAGGTCCCTTAGTTGCCATTAGCTGTATGGGCTATTAATTAACAGCTGTGTCTAAGGAACATGTCGGCCTTAGTCACTAACAAGACTACAAGATCGCGCCACTCATCCTACACTCATCCTTCACTCATATTTGGGTTAAAATACGCACATAGTGGCGTCCCCATCTTAAATAATTGATAATTGATAATTGATTGATAATAATTCAGTTTAAAAAAATCTTTGTACAACTAAATCTAGACTTCTACTGGACCGATTTTGTTAATTAATGGGTCATTGGAAATCATAATTCATGTAGATTTGCAAATAATTATGAAAGCGTGATTTTATTAAATATTTGTGGTAAAAAAGTAAAAATAAAAAAAAAATTAAAAACTGTTTTTTAAAGTTTCTGTTTTCAAGTTTCTATTTGTAGCCAGTTTTTGGCTGCCTTTTGTTAAGTATTTTCAAGAAATGCATAGTAGTTATTTGTAGTAAATTTTATCTTTCAGAATATTACATCCGCTTTGCTCGATTTCCCCTTCATTTAAAAGTTATTGGCAATAAGCTAAGTGATCTCCAAATTTGTAGTGGTAAGAAAATACTAAATTATATATATTTTCGTTAAACTTTGTACAACTAAATCTAGACTTCTGCCGGACCGATTTTGTTACTAAATAGGTCGTTGGAAAGCCTAATTTGTGTAGATTTGCAAATAATTATGAAAGTTTGATTTGATTACATATTTGAGGTGAAAAATAAAAAATAAACAATAATACACTTAAAACGCCTTTTTCCAAGTTAGTATTTCAAAGTTTATATTTGTAGCCAACTTTAGGCTGCCTTTATTGAGTATTTTCAAGAAATAAATAATAGTAACTTGTAGGAAATTTTATTCTCTATCAGAATATTACATTCCACATTGGTCAGTTTCCTCACCATTTCAAAGTTATTTGTTAAGCAACCTCCCAATTTATAGTGGTGAGAAAATACTGAATGAAAGATGTTGTTGTTAAACTTTGTACAGTTAAATCTACAGTTCTACAGAACTAATTTTATTAATTAATAGGTCATTGGAAACCCAAATTCGTGTATATTTGCAAAGTTATGAAAGTTTGATTTTTTTAAAGATTTACTAGGTTAAACCCATCAACGTCGACAGTTACTGTTAAGGCTGCAAGCAAGATCGTTTGACTATAAATCGATGATGAATAACTCAATTTGTGTTACAATTTGGATGGTTCGTGATTTAGCAGGGTGCTTTAGGTACGTCCGAACTTAGTAATCGATAGTTAAAATTGAATATGGTATTTCACTGAAGGTCCTTAGGTCAAAACAAATAGAATTAGAATAATTAGAATTGAGTATGTATATCTAAAACTAAATTCTATATCCAAGATAAAATCAAATTTATGTTTTCTGATTGACTGATACAACTTAAATTATTAAAACTATCAATATCTCAAGTGAAATCCTTTGAGAATTTTAAGACCAAGACAGATTGGAATCTTAATAATCAATAGCTCAAATATAAGCTGGTATTTCACTAGAGGTTTTTAAACCAAAACATATAGGGTAATGTAATTAGAACTGCTGGAATACATCATTAATTGAAGTAAAAAGTAAAAAAATCAAATTTAATATTTTTTTTTTTTTAGATAAAATTAGATAAATTAATGATGATGCTTGATGAGAAACATGTGCTTGCAAAGCTTTATTTTAGGACCAAAATTATGAAAATCAGGCGGGTAGAAGAGCCAAACGAACTCGAAAAAAAAACAAATTTAATGTAAAAACCATAAGAAATGTACAGGGACGCATTTTGTGCATAACTTGAAATATACGTTCAAATGAATGCCAATGTTTGATGACATATCCGTGGTGCGTCCATACCTTTTAAGGCCAACATTATTAAAATTGGTCGGGTAGAAGAGCCAAACGAACTCGAAAAAAGAAACAAATTTAACTCCCATAAGAAATGTACAGGGACGCATTTTGTGCATAACTTAAAATATACGTTAAAATGAATGCCAATGCTTGATGGCATATCCGTGGTGCGTCCATACCTTTTAAGGCCACAATTATGAAAATCGGTCGTGTAGAAGACCTAACCCAACTCGGAAAAGAAAAACAAATAATTTTTATAGATGGCAATAATTGGTTTACCAGTATGCATAATCTAAACATACGAAACATATGTTATAATTGAACAGCTTATTGTTATATTGTTATTTAATTGATTTTTCTTTGATTAAATGTTATTGTTAAAATTTTGCATTTGTGTTTAAAGTGTGTTCCTTATGTTAAGTGTGTGATTCTAATGATATGTGCTTAATCTGTACCATTAATATTAGTGAGTAAAGTGGTGTATGGATTTCATAACCATTATTTTACTAGAGACTGTTGTATTCAACCACAACGGGCTCTGTTGCTAGTTAAGTATAATTTTGCTATATCTTTCTCCAAATAAATAACACTATCTTCCCTGATACTTTGGTTCGATCGTTTGATGTTACGACGAATAAATTCATGGCTTGACTCATCAAGTTAATTATATTAAAGTTGATTCACATTGGTCAACATCTAGCAAGAAAATGTTGCATCCGAATCTATCCAAAGTCAAACAATCTATTGAAATGAACCGATCAAAACAGTATAAGCAGAGTCTACGAGCGGTGTTCTCGGCAAATAGCGATTAAATCAACCACAACCATGATTTCAGCCATATTATCTTATACCCGCAGAATTCTCTATCTAATTATTTGATTAAAAAGTACTTTATACGTCCTCTGCGCTCAATTCTGCTGGTTAGCCAAAACACCGTTATTAAAACAATCAATAGCAGTGATAAACTGGAGATTTGTTTATGCTAATTGTATGTTCGCATTTAATTAGTTGTCACAAAGATTGGGTTTCCTCGTGGTTTGTTATTTTGTACTGAAATAATGATATCTTGCAAACACTTCATCATTGACTCGGGCTATATGCAAATTGAGTTTTCTGATATCATCCAGTAGTTGTCTCAATATTAACGTACATTTTTAATTTGTCTTTGTCAGTATATTTCTTATTCGATCATCGTGTTCATGACGTTTCCGAGGGAGTAGTCATTTCGTAGGAGATTAATTTGACAAATTATTATATTGAAATTATTCGTGTTCTTTCATAGGAAACATTATGCCACGCCGAACCAATTTTGAAGCACGCTCCATCTATTGGGTGTTTAATTTTATACACGATGGACACATTTTTTAAACATCTGAGAAGTGTAAATTACGATTCACACTTTGTATGGATTCGTATGGAACAACTCAACTCACGCTTAAACAATCGCAACTATGACTAGGAACTATAAGTATTCTTTATATTGTATTATTGGAAAATTATTAATTTTAAAATTGTGAATTGTGCCATTTCTACTTAAACATTACGAACAAATCGCTGATAAAGCTAGAATTATTTCCTTACATAAACACATAATAAATGAAAGTGACATAAATAAATCAAATACCCCCGTTGCAGAAAAACCGGATGACTCAGTGACTTACTAGTTTTGTCATTGATTTTTTCATAAAAAGAAATTAAAAAAAATAATATAAAGACTCACAAAATATATAAATTATGTTATATTCTTATATTCTTGAGTTGGTAGGTTATGTTTGCTGTTTCGAGGGACACATACATATGCGTCTTTCTTTTTTTAATTAATTATTCAATAAGTTTACTAAGAAGTTAAAATATTTGCCAAGTTCCAAAAAGCAAAATTTAATTCTGCACTAATTTAATTTTATATTAAACTAAAGTATTTTAAAATACTACAGCCAGAGCCAACGCTCTTGGTCTCAAAACCTTTGGTAATGATGGTTCAACTTATTAATTCCAAGCTTTAAGTATAAAGCTTGGAACAGTGAATTAAATTAATTAACAGTAAATTATAATTTACTGTTATCAGCTGTTTTTGAAATCAACACACTACATAAACACATTATTTGTTATTGCTATGCGAACATGGTGTGCGTACAACTGAAGGGAATTTAATTTTAAAATGTTTGCAGCAACAACATTTTGATAATCAATAACGAACATAGCATCAACATCTGTTTAAAATTTGTGACAAGCATATTCTGCCGAAGCTAAAGATGTAATACAAATTTAAGGGCAACAATCGCTACTCGCCTAAACACCAAACTTCTAGAACATTCCAAAACAGGCTCACCTTAAGTTCTGCGAAATTTCTAGAAGTAAACACTTTGCAAACAAAGTTTTGTATAAAAAGTTAGCCATAACAAATTAAAAAAATTGCAGATTTTAAAAAACGAAGAGTATAAAATTTAATAACATATTGATAAAAATAAATTAACAATCCTGACCTGTATTTTATCATGCTGTCTGATGCAGGTAGCGTGACACCTCGCCCTGAACAGCGGGTCCATCCTGGCATCACCGACCCCCATAATCACACACACAACCCCCATAACCACCACCATAGACGCGCGTACGTGCACCATGACTCTGGCCCTCACTGCTTCTCGTCTGCAACGCTAGCGACTGCACTCTGATCGCACCTCTCTCTCTCTCTCTCTCTCTCTCTTGCTCTACAGTCTTGTTTATTTTGCCTACTCTCCCCCCTTCCTTACTCACCTCTCACCTTACAAATCAAATCTGGACTAAATACTCCCCTCTTACATCTCGCCGCCACCCACACTCGCCGCGTCTCCGTGTCGTCTGCACCGAGACTTAGGTGCGGGTTATGGCGGTTTTTGATTTTCCAACCACTTCTTCTTGATACTCAAATGTTGCTTGCAATCTATATTCTTCCCATCGTAATCTAAAAGCATTGATGTTTTTTACCTTACGTCTCAAGTATCGGTAACTTCCCCTTAAAGGTCACGCGAGACCCGGGATGCTTCAAACGGCACGAATGCTTAAAGACTTTTCTGGGAAAGTTGCAATCTCTGATCTTTTATCGCTGAAGGAGAAGCTTTTATGTTTTTTTTTTATTTTTTCAGTTTTTTTTTTTATTGAATATGTTTAATGTGATGGAAATAAAAACGGTAAATAAACATGACTTTGACATCTACCGAAAGAAAACACACTCACGTAGATAGATATATTACCAACGACTCAAACCATCCACCACTTCAGAAGAGGGCCATTTTTCATTCCCTAATCCATAGATTACTCAATACAACTTTAACTGAAGAAAGATTTTACATGGAACTCAAATATATAAAAAATGTAGCGACTCTTAATGTATACACAACTAAATTAATAGATAACATGTAAAGAAACGCTAAAATAAAAATACAGAAAACCAGATAATTACTAATATTTCAGAAAAGAAATAAGATAAAAATTGGATTAGTATAACCTTTGACTATTAATACCAATGGTATAACGTACAACTCAAAATTTTCAAGTAATATTAAGAGCATATTCAAGAACAAAACATCATACAATTTAGCATTCAGACCTATTATTTTTTCTGATATCAAAATTAGACAATTCGAAAGAAAAACCATCAAAATTTGAACATGTCTGGAATTTATGAAATTTATTTTAACTAGTCCCTACAAGCGTAAGTCCCTACAAGCGTAAGTCCCTACAAGCGTAAGTCCCTACAAGCGTAAGTCCCTGCAAGTGTAAGTCTCGAAAAAGCTTAAAAGTAAAACAAATTATTGTAATATTTAAACAAACTCAGAATAAAATGTTCTATGTGTCAGCATAGATATTCCTGTACATCATATCTTTTGTGTAAAAATCAGTCTCTTTGTTTACTTTTGTTGTTGTTATTATTTTTAATAAATAGTTTTTTAATTATTCTAGAGGTTTAACTCTGCTAAAGGCAGCATACATATTCCCAGGTAATTTTCTAAGAGTAGCCGTTGAGGTTATTCTGCTTCATATAAATTATTGATTAAACACTACAATAAGCGTCAAATTAAATGTAAAGAAATTTACAAAAAGGTTTAGAATAAATCTTCAATATATGTTTAGAAATAAAAACAAACAGAATTAATCCTGGTCAATGTGGTTATATATCATGTTCAACATTCCCCAACACAACAAAACCTTCAAAATACTGTGGAGAAATGTAAACAAAGTCAATTAATCTTTCCTACAGTCACCTGAAAGTGGCCTTCGTTGCACTGATTATAACACATAAAGTTGCTAATTGCTGCATCTACTTACATTTTGCCGCACACCAGTATTTCAACCACACAACACAAGACAGCATGCTTCTATTAGGCACGTCTAGAGATCTAGAGATAAACAACAGCAATTAAAAATTGCCCAGGTGCAATTAAAAATTGTCCAGGTGCAATTAAAAATTGTCCAGCAATTAAAAATTATAGCTCTATATTTTTGAAAGAAATATAATTATCAGCACACAAATTAAGAACAAACCCCGTTTTATGTAGGTGACCAAAATATAAAGAATTGCTGCACAGATAGAATAAACGTAAGCTGTAGTGAAACTCAAGTAGAAGAAACATAAAATACAATACCCAAACTTAAAACACGTGAGAAGTTAACGGTTCTACTATAAACCAATTTCGTACCAAATATGCAAAGTTTGTGTGTTAGCTCTATTGTTGGATAAAGACTAACTGTGTTTAAATTTTATCAAATTTGCTTGTTGTTCTATTTTTTGTTGAACAGATTGTAAATTAAATAAAATGTTACAAAAAACCTTAAATATCAATATAGTATTGGTAAAAAATAACCAAAAACAAACATTTAAAAACATGAGGTGTGTATACAAATTCCAAACAGATATGATAAACAAATGAAAAAAAAACTGAACGTCCATAAGAATAATTTTGGAATTTTAAGGGCTTTCAGGGCTTAACCCTTCCTTAATCATCATGAAAACTAAATAACTTTCGTATTTTTGACCTGAATGCCCAGAATATTTTACATAAAATATTTTAAATAGAGTATAGAGTATAGAGTAAATAGAGTATACCAATTTTCAGCCTTATACCTAGCCTGGAAGTTGGAGAGTGATGAATCAGTCAATGAGTCTGTGAGGGTTTTCACTTTTATATGTTTAGATTACAATAAATTAAAAGTTACAACAAAACGCGCTACATAATTTGTACAGAATCGGCCTAACTTTGTATTCAGCTGGTCATAATAATCAGGGAATATGTCTGTGCTTTAGATTGTATTACAGGACGATAAGTCTGCAATACTTACTTATGGCTATTTGACCCAAGTGGTACTTGGCCTCACCAACACACTGCCTCCACGTCGTGCTGTCTCTTGTGGACAGTACTCTCATCCAAAGTAAATAGTTAAGTTCTCCAACAAGTAACACATGTGAATCCTGAGACTAGTGATAAATGGTTGCTCCAGAGATGAGAACTTACGTCACCGGGCTGGAAATGAAGTGTAATCCGATTACGCTTTGCTACCGCTTCGACGAGTGGCGATAAGTATAATTTACGAGAAACTCACTTCGCGGGCTGAGATGACGAACAATTGATCCAAAGCTTCTTGTACCCTTCACTCAGTTGAATACATTTTACATTGCAGTTGTGACATTTTACAATGTAAGTTAAGGATTATTGCGGACATTTTCAATTACGATTAGCCAAGTAAAATAAACTATTTCCACGACGTTCCAGGATCTGATTCTGTCATCAGACTACAAGTACCTAAAACATAAACAAGATTAGTCCATATAAATCTAATCCATACAAATTCAAAAACAAAAATTCCTCTCTATTACAACATTATATTTGTTGTTTCCTGTATACTACCGAGTGTAGGGTCTTCTGCTGAGAGCGAGGTCCAGACTAATGACTGCGGATGCTGGAATATCACACAGGAACGTTTCAAAGAAGCGCCGAGACGATTTCGAATACCGGTGGCGGAATTTTGTCGTCTTGCTCAATGTTCCGGGAACATGGACCTCAGACATCCCTCCCGTGCTATTTAACGAATGATTCCGACAGCTGTCAAGATCTCGTGCAGAGAACCTTTAAGGAAGATGTCCAAAATTAAAGTATACGAAGATTCATGCATTAAATGTATGAAAAACACTTTATTTAACGAAGTAAAGTGCTGATGAAGAATGTATCGCCAATTATGATGGGGATTATAAGTGGTGCATTTGAACCCAAGTACGAGTTTAGTATAATGAATAAGTGGTTGCCTTTAGCAGTTTTGTTAATTACCGTACTTATGTATTGATGACCCCCAATGATCAGGGATTGATGGCTTCAACCGTCCAAAAGCGACTGGACTTTCTCAGGATAGAATCACTGGCTACCTTTTCATTTTAAGGTGACCCCTATAACCTTTCAACTACCCAGGTTAGGTTTTAGCTATTACGCAAAGTTTTGCAAATCATACAGTGTAACGCTGATTTCAAGCACTATATATCGATGTTTTTTATTCATGTCGTTTCATGTTCACTAATGAAATGTGTAAGTTCACCACCACTGGAAGGGTGGAAAACAATTGTACAGTATAAAACTAATTCCAGAACTTGTAATATTTCATTTCATTTCATTCATTATTTAGTATTAAGTTTCTTAAAATGTTAACTTTTATCCCTACACCTTTGTTGATAATCACTCCTCAGAAAGGCTGGCCTAATATTCCTTTCCCTAATTTATATAATTTCATTAATCTGTTTAATTAATCATTAATAATATTCATTCCATAGCCTATATATATTTTATTTTTTTTACAAAGCCCACAACTTAATTATTTATTAAATATGTAAGAGAATTGCAATACATCAAAATTTCTTATAATATCATTTCAAAATTAGTCTTTAAGGAATCAAAATTTAAGAAGCAGTGAAAGTGATCCCATGTGTTCAACAATGAGTGATGTGAACATTGAGATTGAAAGAGAAGGAAGCCATTGAGAAGTTGAAACTGTTAGTTAGAAGGAGTCCAAATTTTATATAAATCAAATTCATTCATCAAGAAGACCAGTTTATATCAAGTTATATCACAGTAGCCTAAACCTCAAGAGGACTCAACTCCGTCATTGTTATCTTCAAAATTAAGTATAAACTTTCTTTTAAACGCTTTTAATTCAGTGCTAATTGGACTTACCTTTTGGACAACATCAAAATTAGATCTTTTCATTGTTGGGATTTATAAGTTTAACACCTTAATTAGGCCTATTTGGACACTAAATTTATTAATTCTTAGCATTCAAGCCAGCACGACACCCTACCCTGAGATATATCACATCTAAATTATTTGAACCTTTATTATTCAAATTTATCTTTTATTTCAATTTAATTTCAACTCCACACACCATTGTCAATCCTTTCATTGTAACGTCAAGCCTTTTCTCATTGCATGTTTGTTCATTTGTTTAAATAAAACACCTTTTGTAATTCATATATCTTTCTTAACTTATTAACTTTAAACATTTATAGAATAGGCCTTGCCTAAAATGAATTTTATAAGGTGAGTTTACAAACTGTGCAGATATTGACCGATACTTATCGTCGAGTTGGATTACCAAAGACTGTTGGATTATCAACTTTCGGATTATTGGAGGT